AAATAAATATCCCATATTTCATTAATTTTCTCACTTAATATCCTTTACCCCATTAACTTTTTACCCATGTCCTGAAAACATACCTCTAGTAGTGACTCAACATTCATGTGGGCTCCTGCTTTACTTCATCTCTCTGTTAACCTGACTCTAAACTCTAAGAAAAGCCTTACTTTTAGTTACTAACATTTGCCTGTAGCAAAGTCTTGGGGAGGAGAAGTATGTAAGGGTCCAAAACGTAGATTGGAGTATATCTTTTTCTCTTGCAGGCACTTACAACAGGTGGGATCCCAGGATTTATTGATGTTGTCTTCAACTTCGATTCAAAATCTTTGCAAGAAGACAATTTGATTAGTCAGATGAAGACTGCCAACAAGAAGCTTGTGTTCTATGGTGATGACACATGGATGAAGCTATTTCCTGGACACTTTGCCCGAACAGATGGAACAACTTCATTTTTTGTCACAGATTACACTGAGGTGCAGAAAAATAGTTATGTCTTTTCAAATAAATTTTCGTTGTAAAATGACAGCACATGATCACTCACGTCAGTTCTGAATTCATCAGTTTTGTTCTTCAACCCAGAGCAATTTCATATCTGCTCATTGACATTGAAAATATATGGTCTCATCAATACTGCTATCTAAAAGGTATTAAGCATTTATTTTGAACCTGAAACACAGATGAACTTAAACTAATCCTGGTAAAAATCTTTCGAAGATATCTGAACAAGGATCTTTAAGGATATTCATAAACTAAGATAGAAGACCTTTAAAAATTATTGCCAACAGCCTGGATCTTTAAAAAGGATCTGTAAGGATCTTCAAGGATTATCAACTTTCTTGCCATTTTCGCCAAGGATCTTCAAAGATTTTGCTCAAAGATCTTGCCAAGATCTTTAGAGATCTTAAAGGATCTTTTCAAAATTAATATATTTTTCAAGATCTTTCATTTGAGGACCTTTGCAAGATCTTTCAAAGATCTTTTAAGAATCTTTGAAAGATCATTATCAAGATGCACAAAGATCCAGTAAGATTTTTTACCAGGGATGCCTACCTCTCTAAACAGCCACCTCTACAATTTTTTTCATTGTGTACTTTGTCCCAACCATGAGCCAATCCATACATGTTATGACTTGTTGGCATCACCCTGCAGTGGCAAGTTTAGCCTGCGTAGCAAGTATTTCTGTATGGGCCGAATGACATTGGGCTGCACGAAAGAGCTTTTTCTCATTCAGGCTGCACAAAAAATGGGGTGAGAGCAAAGAGGTTGAAGGAAGCCGATCAGCTTCTTCTACCTTTTTGCTCTCGTTCCACTTTTTGCGCAGCCTGAAATGCTCTTGCTCCATTATTCTTGCAGCCCAAAATGTGAAAAAGCTCTTTCATGTGACCCAATTTCATTCAACTCGTACAGGAACACTTGCTACACAGACTATCAGGCCAGTTAATTCTGCCCTAGGATGGCCACGAGAGGTTCAACATATATTTATCAATAACTGCCGTTAGGTTGATAACAATGTCACCAGACACATTGACAAAGAGCTGAGTAGTGATGACTGGGACGTGATGATACTTCACTACCTGGGCCTGGATCATATAGGACATATTGCCGGACCATCCAGTCCCTTTGTGGGGCCAAAACTTCTAGAAATGGACCATGTTGTTAATGACATTTACAAAGCAATGCTTAAATGGGATCGAGGAGGAAAGGCTCCTTCCCTGCTGGTGCTGTGTGGTGATCATGGAATGAGTGATGCAGGGAGTCATGGAGGTGCATCTTCTGCCGAGACCAGCACACCCCTTGTGTTTATGAGCCCTTTATTTGAACACAGTGGAGGTGAAGAGTTTTCCAAGAAACAAGTTCAACAAATAGATCTTGTACCAACCTTGAGTCTTCTTTTGGGACTTCCTATTCCTCAAAACAGGTAGAGCACAAATAAACTACATTAAATTATGAGATTTGCTATTCAAATACCTCTACCTGTGCTCAGGCACTCTTTTCTGGAGGGTGGGCACTCACCCCCCTACAAAGAATGCCTGGTCATAGCAGGTTAAAATACTTCAAAGCAGCTAAACTTACTTAAGGTCTTTCTATGTGAAAAAAGAAGACATTTCTTTCAAATCTGCTTTTATTTTGATGTATAGCCTCTTATGGGATGCTGAGATATTTTTGCTGAGGCAACTACCTCGGTTCACCTGTTACTAGCTATGACCCTCCCCTCCACCCAAGAAAACATCGCCGTCAATGCAAGACTCTTGACAGAACCAAAACAAATGTCAATGTCTTTTTCAATCTCATCATGTCTCTTTCATCCTGTCTTTTTGTCTTTTTAGCATAGGAATTGCCCTTCCTAACCTCTTCAACTTCCATGAGCCAAGGGAGATGCTTAGAGCCCTACAGCTGAACACTTACCAACTGTCTCAAGTACTTACTGCAAATGGCCATTCAGTTGATGATATGTGGGAACCTCAACATGCACATAAGCTGCACTCTGATTGGTTGAAATCAGCAGCAGTCAGTCACAATGCCAAGAACCTAGAGACTATGGCAGGCAAGGTTGCTAAGCAGTACATCCTGGCACTTCAGAAAATGAGCAGTCATGTGACTGCCTCGCTTTCAAGCTATGACCTGCATGCAATGGTTTGTGGTATAGCTGTTTTGGTTCAAACGCTGTACTGGGTCGTTTCTGGATTACTTCGACTTTCTTTTCAGAGCAAAAGAGAAGATCAGCTGAACATTTCAGTAACGAACATTTTTGTTGTGAGTGGCACTGTTTTGCTGGTTGCAGTTCTTCATCTGTCTGCTTGTTCCAGTACAGTGATTGGTAAGAAAATATATAGAAGTAAAACTCTGATCTGTTTAAACAATAGTGGAACGGTCGTAGTCTTAGTCAAACTTTCGCAATGCTGCAATAAAACAGTCGTAAAATGTACATCAGTTGCAGCTGATGACGAATATAGACAGCCAGACAGAAAGACAGACACACAGACGGACACACAGACAGACAGATAGATAGATAGACAGACAGACAGACAGAACCTATATTAAAGACAAGTTAACCGCAATCTTTCGTGTTCTCCCGTGGTTGCATCAGGCCATACAAACAAACTTGTTTCTTCAGTACATTAAGAAACATACGCCTGTGAAAAATTTAAGATGTATATGTTATTTACCGGCTGGAACGAAGGTATCGTGAGAAAACTGTGACCGAGTTCTTGAAGATGCTGATGGTTCGAGGTCACAGTTTTTCACTATTCCGACCGACCCTAAACTGGTAAATAACTTATTTCTATTTTTTAGTGGCTCTCTTTTTCTCTCAAATCATAAAAATTCAAGGACAAAAACTCACGAAAGCGTTACCGTGACCGTGGTCAGAGAGAGGAAAATCAGGATCGTGATAACAACCAATCAGATTGCAGGATTCGTTACCGTGCCCTCTTGAAAAAAAAATTAAAATGAGATCTTCACACTTTCACAGCAATTACTAAGCATGCCTAAGGAAATTTACACTTCCTGCTTATGCCTGAAATTTTTTTCTGTAAAGCTGGACTGTAGAAATCTCAGTCTCGTTGTGCTGTCTAATAGCTATTCGCAAGCTAGGTTATTCTGGATTGGAAGGCGGAGAGCTCAGCAATGCCGTATTAGTGATTGGTTGAGAACTTAAACAACACCAGCCTAAAATCGTCACATGCCGATATTCTTTCCACTGAGGGGTAACACTGATTTAAGGCGTGTTTCATAGTATCGAACTTAAAAAGAAATACGTTACTTGCTACCCACCTCTTTTGTGACTAAGGCTCCGTCCACACTACGCTGGAGGAATTTGAAATCGGAGGTTTCACTTTGAAAACGCATCAAATGTTTTCCGTCCTCACCACGCCGGAGGAATTTAAAAACGCAGCAATAACCGGTCATTTTGGACTTGTATTTATGGAAAACTCGGTCCAGTAAATCACATGATTATTTTGACGCCATCGTTTTCGAAAAGCTCCGTTTTCAAAATGTTTTCCGACTTCTCCGTCCACACGAAAACGCAAAGCCGGCGTTTTCAAATTGCTCCAGTTTGAAGAGCGTTTTCGAAAAGCTCCGTTTTCGTGACGGATTAGTGTGGACGGCAGGCCTAACCCGAAACATAGCTGCGTTTTCAAATTTCTCCGGCGTAGAGTTGACGCTGCCCACAGGAGTCAAATAAGGCCTGACAAAAAAAAGAAGAAAGAAAGAAATATCAAGGTTAACTAATTAGTGTGTTTCTTCTTTCTTTACAGGCGGAAGTGACATCTTGTGCTCAACAAACACTGCTGAATCCATTCTTTACAGTTTGGTATTTGCCTTGCAATCAGGAGTCACTCTTGTATCCATCATGTTTTGCCTTAATCGCTACATTCTTAGCCAACAGTCTCCTCGCGTATCGCTATTTTCGGCTTTTTCATCCCTATTCCAAAGCTCGTCATGCAGTGTTCTTGCAATAGGAGTTTTACTTCACGCTCTGAGTCTTCTATCGAGTAGTTTTGTGGAAGAAGAGCATCAAACATGGTACTTTTTCACTTCAGCTTTGTTCGTGATGATATTCCTTGAGAAAAGCACGTTGTTTCGTAGGGGAAAGAATCACAAGGATTCGGAGAAACCAGAAACGGTACCAAGGCAGGAAGAAATCTCGAAAGACAAAAATTCTCAAAAATGTAGCAGTGAAAAAGTATTTGATCATAGTAATGAAGTTAGGAACGCGAACTTTCATAATGATCACAGCTATTCCAAAAGCAGTGGGATAAATGTGGATGGTGTTTTGTCAGAGGGTGAAAATGCCGTCGAAGATCTCTCACGGCCAGTGTCAGCCAGGAAGAAGGTTGAAATGACACATCAAAATGGCTTTTTGTCGTATCTTTTGGCTGTTTTAGCACTGCTTGGTTTAGGAAGATTATCCAGAGGTTGGAACCAAACTGGAATGAAATGGGCTGATAGGCCTGACATCGGAGATTGGCTCGTAAAGCCCGAAAACAGAACAGTCTTGTCTATTTGCTACTTTATATCTCTAATTGCCATTGCCGGATTTCGTTACAATCGTCAAAATGCTGTAACTTCATTTGTCTTTATCATCGGCGCTGCGAATGCTTATGTTTACAGGACTGTCACGGGGAGTCTCCGGTTACCATGGATACCAAATGAACC